CTATGGGGCACCATTGTGCAGCAGCAAGCATCACAACAAAAAAGGAACCTCAAGGTTGATCTAGGAAAATGTGTGCAAATGTATAGGGCCCCATTCCTATATTTTGCCTGGGGCCCCCAATTCACTAAATCCGCCCCTGGACACAAGGATACGTTTTCTACGTGTATTTACGCTTTGATTTGAATGAAAACAGCGCATCCGTGCATCGCGGCTGACACAGAAGAGCGTACGCTGCTTGTGTTCAGTGGTTATTCTCCAAAATGGCGCTACGGTGATGCGAAGAGACACAGAGGAGACGAATTGTTGAATAAAGTCGTTATTTTTGTTTTCTTCGCATACAAAAATTGCTGAGTTTAGAGACGGCAGAAAGCGTTTGTTTTCTTTATTTTATAAACGCATAACGTTTTGTTGATATTGTGAGTGCACACAAATAAAGCTAGACCCTTTACAGTTTAGAATGATGTATTACTCTTACCTTTATGAGCAAAAATTACGGCGTATCCACTGAAAAAATTGCAAGTGATCGCGCTGGCGCCTCCATGTCCTGCAGAGCGAGCTTCAACTTCCACTCTCCACACAAACGATTGGATATGCGTCTAACAGCGCACATTTATATAGGTTAAAACCTTTAAACTAACATTGTGAAATACTTGAACTGTTTTATATATAGATTTTATTTTAGGCAAGTCCTAATGATTTGAGAAGGCTAAATTGATCAAACATAGGCTATAGGCTATGATCAATTCACTGTCTGCCGCTGGCCTTTACTTAAAAAAACAAACAAAAAAAACTTACATTTAACGAATAAAAAATACTCCAAATGTTTTTCTAAATTTACTTTATAAAAAAATCGAAACGAAATAATTCTAAAGAGCAATATTCTGCAATAGCCATTATGTTTTTTCAAACAAAAACAGAAAAAATAATTTTAACAACACATTTTTTAAATGTTTATACTTATTAACATGACTTTTCCATTACTGGAAGTCACAATTAAAAAATATTTGCAGGTTTTCCATAGGAGCCCATTTATTGTGGACTAAAATAAGCATCTAGCAAAGATGTAATCAGAAAGAAATGCATAATATTACCTGAATAACCAACTCAGTGGAAGGCAAATTAATTTAAACAAGCTGTGGAAGTGTAAACATAAATCCCTGAGAATGACAGATCTCACCCAGCATGTGGGTGGTTCAGTAGGTAGGATATAGTTGGGATGCTATATCTCACCAACTGGGCAAACACAGAGGGTGGTTCCATCTGACTTGGCACGGCAGGTAGAGTTGTGCAGGCAGGGGTTATGCCGCAGGTCGCAGGGGTTGTATGCCTGTTCACAGAGGAGGCCAGTAAAGAAGGGCGGGCAGGTGCAGGAAAACTCCCCTGGGATGTCAGACTCCACACAATGTGCACCGTTCAGGCAGGGAGAGGAAGAACATTCCTTCACATCCTCTCCACAATCCAGGCCTGTCCAGCCATGAGGACATGTACACCTATGAGGCAAAAGAAGTATTTCCACATAAGTTCATTGTTTGTCAAGAAATTCCAAACTGACATGACTTTTTATTATTTTTGATGAATACTGTGGCAACTCTTTTCCGTATAACGAACATGAATGACGACCAAAGTGTGTGAAGCTTTAAAATGACAAAAAATGCACCATAAAAGAGAGTCAGAAAGTACTCCATATCACTTTTGTGCTACAACACTGTTTAAAAGTTTGGGTTTAGAAAAATCTGTTTTTATGCTTTTGAAAGAAGTCTCTAATGGTCACCAAGGCTGCATTTGTTGTCAAAATACAATAAAAAAAACAATAAGATTGTGAAATAATATTAGAATTTAAAATAAATGTATTCTAATTTAATATATTTAAAAATTTAATTTATTCCTGTGATTGCAAATCTAAATTTTTAACAGCCATTACTCTAGTTGTCAATGTCAACATTATATTATCAATGTTGACAACAGCTGTGCTGTGCTGCTTGAAATTAGATACATTTTTTCAGCAGTAGAAAGTTCAACAGAACTGCATTCATTTAAAATTGAAATTTTAAAAACGTAATTTTGGAACTTCACAGTCCCACTTACCATTTAATCTTTATTTAACTTTTTTTATTGGAAAATTTCAGCAAGGATATCCTTTAAAAAAACAAAACAAAAACAAAACCCTTTTATATTTAATTAAGGACAAAGTTTTTGGAACATACATGTTTGGAACAACATGAGAGCGTGTAAATGATGACAGAATTGTCATTTTCGGTTGGTCTATCCCTTTAAGACATAACTCAGAAAAGAATAGAGTCTTGAAATCCTTTGGAATTCCATTGTGTGAAATTACAGAGGAAAATGATATTGTGCTATTAAAATATTCATTAATGTACAGACCAACTGACACTCCTGGCACACAGTGACCTTGTAGCATAAGAGCAAATTCCCCCAGGGGCAGACTCCGATTTGGCTTAGTCCTGTGGTGCTTTTCACTAATGAATGTCATACGTCTCTGAAAATCCCTTTTTGTTCATTTTAGACCAGGATTACAATGCGTGCCATGAACTAAACTCTTATAAATTAAACCTTCTACTTAATTTCAGGGGGGACAAAACCTACACAATAGCTATTTTAAAGAGGCTAGACATGATATTCCTCCAGATGTTATTAAAATAAAATGAGCAATGAGTCATAATTATATGGTAGAAATGCAAATGAAAATCATCGGGCACATTTCTAAAATCTTCCATCATTCTCATAATAAAAACACAACAGCCCATGAGATACAGTAAATTATTTACACAAAATATAAGAAAACAACTTAAATACATTGAGTTCAATCATAAAGGCCACTTTATAGCTTGACGTGCACAGTTTTCAGTCCATTTGATATATTTCCTGTTGAAACAGGAAATTAGGCCAAGGAATATAAAATGGATTGTCTCTTTTTATGTATGTATTTTTTTTTTTAATAGCCAGTAAGTTTTAGATTATATCACAAAAATCAAATCTGTTTATCTGTTAAAGTTAATATTGTCAACTTCACTTCATTGTGGACTACACCAGCAAATCTTACAGACATTGGCTATTATAAGCCACAAATCTCCAAAAAGCTAATCAAACTCCAAACAAAACACTGTTTTACTTCACTTTGCCATTCATAGCCAAAACGGAATCACTGTTGGGAGATTTCTGGACAGCTGAGGGGATTTATAGGTTAATTGCACTATTGGTCTAAGAAGCATTAAATCCCAGACAGCTGGAAGTAGGACACTGTGAGGTCAGAGCGGCGAGCTGGGATTATATTTACCAGAGAGAATCCCAGAGAGTGCCGGAGGTATCTATATTCCACTTGGTGGCAGTGATCTTACAGCCGTGCTGCCAATCCCCATCTCAAACCCATCCTCTATTCTCTCTCTCTCTCCTTTCAGTCTATTTTCTTCCCTCTTTCTCTCTCTTCCTCCCTCCGCTGCCCTTAGTAAGATTGCACATTAGGTGAAACAGAAGCAGGAGCTTTTTCCTCAAGAGAGTCACTGATTGAGAGAAACCTCCTCCTGCTGTGCTCCATTGATTGATTAATTTGTTTTACCTGCCATCTGCAATTCATTATCTCACACATTTGTGAAAGTGCAGTCTGTCTCTGCGTGACAAGAGAATAGGTGGCTAAACTTAGTGCTGTTTTTCATATAGTCCAGGGTTTCCCAAATGCAGGTTTATGAACCCCTGGAAGTTTACGAGGGAACTGCAGGGGGTTCGTGAGTTGACGAACAGCTAATAAGTAATTATATTGAATGTAAAATTTAAATAAATAAATGTGGCTGCAAGATAATCGCAATATAGCTTAATGCTATAATCAAATCAAAGGCAGCAATTTAATTAAATAGCTGTATAGTCCGATGCAGCTCATTTCATTGGATGATTATCAAATATTCATTATTTATTTTTCAGTACAACTGTAATGTCTTTATTTTTATAATTAGTTAAAACATACTACTGTACTACTACAACAACTAATAATTATTATAATAATTTCTATTATTGTAATTGTTATCAATATTAGAGAACCATGAACATGCAAATGTCTTGTTAAATTATTGAAAAATTAACTTAAAGGGAGAGTTTACAAAAAAATTTAAATTACCCCATGATTTACTCACCCTGAAGCCATCCTAGGTGAATATACCTTTCTTCTTTCAGATGAATACAAACGGAGTTATATTAAAAATGTACTGGCTCTTCCAAGCTTTATAATGGCAGTGAATGGAGGTCGAGATTTTGAAGCAAAAATAAAGTGCATAAATCCATCATAAGAAGTGCTCCACATGCAGGGGTGATCCTAGACTTCTGGGGGCCCAAAGCAAAACTGTGTCGGCAAACGAATTTGTCCATGTTTCACTCCGTCTCGAATCGCGCTCGCGGAAAGCACTTGAGAAACAGTGTCTCTTCCTCGGCTCGGTATGCTTTTGATTGATTACGTTTATTTCGAGCAAATATATATATACAGTGCAGTGAAAAGGTTTTTGCCCCCTTCCTGTTTATTTTTTTTTTGCATATTTGTCACACTTAAAAGATTCAGATCATCAAACCAATTTTATTATTACACAAAGTTAATGCAATGCAGTTTTTAAATTATGATTTCATTTATTAAGGGAAAAAGCTGTGCAAACCTACCTGGCCCTACGTGAAAAATTAATTGCCCCTTCCTGTTTAATCATAAAAGAACTGTGATTAAGCACATTATTTTAGAAAGCTGACATACCATCAAGTCCACCTCTCAACAAAATTAAGGTTTTGGAGTGGCCGAGTCAATGTCCGGACTTAAATCTGACTGAGATGCTGTGGCATGACCTTAAATAGTCCATTCATGCTCAAAAACCCTCCAATGTGGCTGAATTAAAACAATTATGCAAAGAAGAGCGGGCCAAAATTCTTCCTCAGTGATGTGAAAGACTCATTTCCAGTTATCGCAAACGCTTGATTGCAGTTGTTGCTCCAAAGGGTGGCACAACCAGTTATTAGATTTAGGGGGCAATGACTTTTTCACGTAGGGCCAGGCAGGTTTGGACAGCTTTTGTCCCTTAATAAATAAAATAATGATTTAAAAACTGCATTTTGTATTTACTTGGGTTATCTTTGAACAGTTTATCTCACATATATATCAGTGGCGAACGGTGACTTTTTTTAACCGGGTATGCTGAGTGATAATATTAAGACCCCCATCCCAGCCCCCCCCATCACTTTTAGACACACTCAAAGAGGAAATCGCCGTGGCAGGTGTCGATTTAAAAGTATGCACATTCCTACCTTATTTGTAAATTAAATTCATCTCCAATCCTTCTTATAGGTTTTAGGTTTATCCATAATTATTCGAATGCTAGAAATCAGCTGCTTTTCCAAATAAAACCCGCCCAAATAACGTAGTTACGTTATGATAAGTAATATTCAGAAGGCGGGGAGATGGGGGATTCCCCCTCTCTATATGTCTCTGCATCGACTGAATGATTTTTTTTTATTCATTTATTTTTATTCCCAGTGAATAGGAGTTAAAACTCCCACCCGGGTGACACTACTCCAATAATCGACCATGCAAAATACCATAATAATAATAATAATACAAATAATATCTTTAAAATATTGCCAAGTAATGTTGCAAACAACAATAAAATCAGAAAAGGACTTTAATTGTAAGCGACACAACTTTACGAAAAACAAAGGTATTGTTTCCTATTTTTTCCTGATGTTTGTTATTATTTAAATAAAATGTGTATATAGCTACATTTTTATAAAACTTTGTTTTATTTATTTATTTATTTATTTACCACTTAGGCATGTTGACAATAACGTCTTCAACATTGTCTATGACCAGAAATGTTTTTAGTGGACAAAATTTGCTTTACTTGAAAAAGCATGAAAATATACAGTTATAATGTTTTTTTTTAAATAAAGGCCTTCTGAAGCGAAGCAATGTATCTGTGTAAGAAAAATATCCATATTAAAAACTTTATAAAACTTAATCTCTAGCTTCCACTAACTGTCGTATGCAAGTTCACAAGAGAGTGGCGTTCCAGCGGATGATGTAGGACGTAGGTGTAGCGTAAGCTCCAGCGAGAATATGTTAGTCTCGCGAGTTTTGTTTACAGCAAAGGAAAACCAGTGTCCTCTTGGCTTATATCGAAACCTCCGACATTTTTCTTTCCAAATCCTCGTTTTGTACTTCTAATTAGTGACCGGTGTTTTGATTTGCTCTATCCACTGCACTTCCACATTCGTCACCTCTCACCGGAAATTATTGAAATATTAATTTAAAATCAAACTTTTTTCTTTTTCTTTTTTCAAGTAAATATTTTATGTCTAAGGGGTTTGGCAACAACATTTTTATTATCAACTAGTTGGGATGCTAATCCAATCCCAACAGGACATACCAGTATATGAATAACAATGCAGATCACATTTTTATATTTTGAACTACTGTTAATTTGATATAAGATCTTAAAAACAGAACAATACACTATATTTAATATAAGAAAATTTTTACATTTTAAATGCACATCCCTGCTAAATGTGTATTTACATCAATATTTAGGAGTTGACCTCAAAGCTGACACACATGGACTAAAAGCCTCAAAACTAATTCTAACTAATTTCATGTATTTAAATGTGATTTTCACACATTAAATTGTTAATCAAGGGTCATTCTTAACCCATGGTAAATGTTAATTAATCCTGGGTAGTCATGTTTCATGATTTCACACTGTATATTTGTAAACCCTGGGTTAACATTCTTATTTACATATTTATGAGGTCACACTACACTCCTCTTTCACTCTAATTTACTAACCTTTTCCAAATTACAAGTTTGAAACCTAGGGATAAACGTTTGAAAAAAGACGTTAACCCAGGGTTGTGCACAATGTTTAAGCCCTACAGATGCAACTTCTATGCTAAAGTTAAGTTTATGTCACATTTATTCATTTAGAAGACACTTTTATCCAAAGTAGCTTACAACTGAGGAAAACAACATATTCATCTTAATGAAGCATTGTCCAGAATAGTATAGGCTAGAACAGAGAGAGAATTAAAAAATGGTGAATGTGTAAAAGGAGGTTTGATTTTTTTTTTTTTTAAAAGAGTCAACATTTTAGTGATTAATAAATATACATAAACTGAACAACCTCATTAATCAGCAGGAAGGTTGCTGGAAAAACTAGTCGACCATGTGACCCATCTCTAGCCTGTCCATTCATCCAGATTTTCTTTGCTCCGTCAAGCTGTATTTTTGCAACCCACCTGTAAGCGTTGAGGAGGTCTGTACAGGTGGCATTGTTTTTACAGGGGTTTGATGAACATTCATCGGTCTCCCATTGACAGAACTCCCCCACCCAGCCGGGTAGACAGAGGCACTCGTAACTCTGTAACGCAAATGAAGACAGCAAATGATCAGATAATACACAACGGTGTAACACTTTCATCTAACCCTTGCCTTGACCTAGATAAATACAGCATATTCTGTCACCAATCACTCGACATACCTGAAAATGTCTTCATTAAAACATTCACATTAATAGAACAGAGTAAGAGATGACAGTATAGCAAAGCACTGTGGTGTTAAAGAAATAATTAATCCAAAATTCTATAATTTTTTAATATTTTTTCCCAGGTGCTGGGTAGTTTTTTTGTAACTCAGCTGCTGGGTCATTTTTACTGTCAATGCAAATGATGAACCCCCTCACATACCTACACTATAAAAAATGCTGGGTTGTTTCAACCCAACTTTGGTTCAAATATGGACTAACCCAACTTTTGGATTTAAAATTTAATGTAAAATTTTAACCCAACGGTTGGGTTAGTCCATATTTGACCCAAAGTTGGGTTGAAACAACCCTGAATTTTTTAGAGTGTACCCAGTGCTGGGTCAGTGTAACCCAATGTTGGGTAAACTGTGCCAAGCCAGTTAAAACTGGTTACGTTTGTCAGCGGTCATTTGTGTTCTGTCTTGAGAGAAAACTTCCTTAGGGGAAACATCCTGAATGAAATTAAGGTCAGCTCACATTTCATCTTTTTTGTTTACATGTACGTCGCAGATAACATCTGCTATGAATGCTAGCGTTTCTGTCGTTTGACGGGTTGAAACCCAAACTTAAATGGCTGACATGAGATGGCACGTGGTGAAGCTGATTTTGATGTAACTTTTCAATCATGCATGTATAAGATTGTCATTTAATGAACTGGAACAGCTTACTAATTCCAGTTTTCTTCCCACAGATTCCCAATGACTGCTGTTGCTGCTCCTGTCACGTCCTAAAACATTTACTGAATGTTTTTGAGTATTTTATGATTGTAAAAGACTGACTTGCCATTGGATAAAAAAATATTGTATATGAATATATAACAAAGATTTTAGAGTGCATTTTCATTATTTAAAATGAAAAACCTTCAATATCAGGTTGACTGACCCAGCACTGTCAAAAAACAACCCAGCAAATGGGTTAATGTAATGTCAAAATAACTCAGCATGTTCTGTCCAATATTTACTCAGTGCTGGGTTGTCAAATAACCCAGAAATGGTTGTTTATAACCCATCATTTTTAGTGTACTTTTATTCAAGAATACTTTTAAATTGATCGAAAGTTACATTTATAACATTACACAATATTTATATTTCAAATAAATTATGTTCCTGTGAATTTTCTATGCAAAGAATCATGAAAAATGTATTTTTCCACAAAATTAGACAACACAACTGTTTTCAACGTTTGTCCATGTTTTAAAAAATGTCCTAATATATTTGAATTTAAAAATAATAACAGATGACACTTCTTGAAGCATGAAACAAGCAAACGAGTAAATCTATATGTACCTTCCAATTCCTTTCTCTTAGTCTGGGGGGAAAAAACAAACAAAAGCATACACACAAGGCGTGTAGTTGAGGTTTATATTATAATTTGCACTGAGGGCAATCTGTGGGCAGCTTCAACTCTCAACCCACCTGGTATTAACTCCAAATGTATTTAGCATGGTTTTCAAAGTTGTTATCTTTACAGAAGAGCAACCACTGCTATGCAAATGCACTCTCTCTACTACCCACCACTGCACATCAGATATTCAGGCATGTCTTTAAAGGCATGCAAACTATTAATTTTGGCATAAATTACTAAACAAATCTGCATGAGCCACACATTTCAAAGAGAAATATTCAGAATTACACCCCATGCTCTGAAATGAACGGCACTTGAAGTGAATTAATTTGTGCTCTCTACTTAATGCTCGAATACAAGATACAATGTAAATGCATCTTCTTCTTTTCTTCAGAAGTGCTGTCCTTTCCATCTTGGTGAGTTTACTGCGACTCTCCCATCCACTTTGTCATTAAAGTTTTCATTATGAAAATTAATCACTGCAGGTGGTTTGTTGTCTGTTATTTTGCATGGCAAAGGTTTATTCAATCTCATCCCATGCAAAGAAAATGAGCGCAGGTTTGCACAGTCAATGCATGGTTAGAGTTCTTCATCATGGCTGCCCTGAGGGTTTATCCTGGAGTGCATGCTAATCTGTGCTTCATCCAGATGCAGACACAGTGTTAAGCTCTGCCTAATGTAATTTGAGCACCGCAGGCCTTATTCATAAGACTATGCAGACATGGTGTGATAGATCAGATGCCTCCAGAAGACTTCTGTTTTTCACCCCTGGCTAAGGATAGTATAATCTTATTGAGGCTGCTAAATCATCAGCTGGGATCGTAGCTCTCCCGAGAAACCCAGGGTTGTGCGGTGTATTTTTATTTTAACAGAAGTAAATAAATAACTACGTAAACACTGCCAGGAAGTAAATTGCAATCTGTGAGAAGGATTTCGAAAGCTTGCTCCTGTCTCCACATGAAGTTGCACAAGAAAACTTATTTTTGGAAAGAGATAATTGTGATAGAATGAGTTAGAAACTACTATATGCAAGATGAATTTCTGCATAATAGTGCGGTAAGTTGCTGCTCGGCAAGACTACAATGAAAAAATAATTTATATATGTTAAAATAATATAATTGTCAGGATTATGGACCTGTTTAGTTGTGTTTTGCCCGTCTTTGTTCCTGGTGTTCCTTATATGGTAACCAGGATCACTTTCACTGACTTTTTCATTAACTGTTCCCTCCTGGTGGAATGACCTGCCCAAATCAATCCAAGCAGCTGAGTCCTTAACCATCTTCAAGAAACACCTAAAAACACACCTGTTCCACCTTTATTTGACACTCTAACTCATGTACGTTCTATTCTATTTTAATTCTACTTTATCTATATTTATCTTCTTTTTTGATTTTTTTATTTAAAAAAAAAAACAACAAAAGACAAACAGACACTAGCTTTCTATTTTTTCTATTCTATCTACTTGTTTTTCTTTGTGCGTGTGTGTGTATATGTGTGTGTGTATAATATATATATATGTATTATATATAATAATAGCAAGATGATACTATATTATATTATCTTGCTACGTGTACTGCGTTAGGCTAACCGAGACTTATCAGTTGCACTTATATATTGTTGCTCTTTTGTTAGTTTTGACTGCTTTTATTGTCCTCATTTGTAAGTCGCTCAACAATGCCTGCCACGAGAGAGAGTGCCACGGACGGTGTGAGTGCGGAGAGGAGCTCCGCCCCCCGCACCACAGCTGAGGGTGAGCGGAGTATGGCGCGGCGAAGGTGCCAAAACGAAGAGGAGAGCGTTCCAGCCCCCGAATCCAGTCCAGAGCGCCCTGCAGTGCCCGCTCCTAGAAAGCGCCCTCCAGTGCCCGCTCCTAGAAAGTGCTCTCAAGTGTCCGCTCCTCCAGAGCACAATCCTGTTCCCATGTTCAGTCAAGAAGGGGCTTCCGATCAAGAGTCCGTTTTTTTCTCTCAGTTTTTTTGTTTCCCCTTATGGATCCCTTCACCCGCCCATAATTCCTCCTCCTCCTGCTGGAGCAGGGGGACAGATCTCTCAAAGGACCATACAAGACTGTTCCGGGTGTTAGCTAGCACCACCATCCTGCCTCCTCCTCTGCTGTCATCTGGCAGCCCATCTGCTCGCCCTCATCCCACCATCTATGCAGCGCGAGCTCCGCGGGACTGCCATCCTCCAGCGTCGTCGTGGCTGGAGTTTCCCTTGACTCCGCCTCCAGCCTCTAAGCCCCAGACTCCGCCTCGGCCCGTGGACCCAGCAGCTCCACCATGGCTCCTAGCGCGCCTCGGGACTCCACTCCTCTGGCTTCGCCTCGTCGCTCGGGCTCCGTCAGGCTCCGTCAGGCTCCTTCATCCCCTCGGCTCCGCCTCAGTACTCTGTCGCTCCGGCTCCACCGCGGCCTACCGGATCCTCCCAGTTGCCCTGGCTCATCGTCTCCGCCTCGGGCTCCTCCACCACCTGCCCCGCCGCCGTTGGTTGGCCCCCTGGAGTCGGCGGCCATTCCTCCTCCATGGCTCCTCCCTCTGTCGGTTCCACCGTGGGCCGACATTATGGCTGTGCCCTGGGTCCAGCTGGACTCCTCTTGCTCCAAGCCCCTCCTGTCTCCTCCCTGGCTCCTCCCTCCATCGTCTCCTCCCTGGACTCTGTCTGCCGGCCCCCTCCTGGGTGTCCGTCCTCCTCCGGAACCTCCTCCTTAGTTCCCACCCACTGTTGTGTTCTGTTTTTATACAGTGCGAGGACACACCTTCCGGGAGGGGGGCGATATGTCAGGATTATGGACCTGTTTAGTTGTGTTTTGCCCCTGTCTTTGTTCCTGGTGTTCCTTATATGGTCTTTTTCCTGTCCTCGTTTAGTTTAGTTAGTCATTCAGTTCACCTGTGTTTGTTATCCCTTGCATTTAAGTTTGAATCTGTGCTGTCTGTCTTTGTCCGAGATTGTACGTCAACCCTGGTGTTACCTGTGCTTCTGTGCCCCGTGTATTCCCTTGGATGTTGGATTAAAAGACTGTTGTGTTCGTTTACGCCTTGTCTCCTCGTTCCTTCCCAGCGTGAGCGTGACAGTAATGATTTTAAATAACTATGAATAGCAAGAACTATTCATAAAATAAGATGAATATTTTGAAGTAGTTCTGTAATACCACATACTAAAGTACAGTGAAATAGCATACTCAAAATTATGGCAGAATACATGCAATATTATTAAATAAGTACTTAATAATGTGTACAACTGAGTAAATATGAGTCAAATGAGCTGTCAAAATTAATCACTAAACATGAGTAACCGCAAACAGATCACATGAAAAAAAAAAGGTCAAAAAAGTTAATTGGAATTCCAAGAACCATTTGCTTATACTGTAAATATTTCAAAATAACAATTAATAATTGTAACAATAAGTAATAAGATTGCTGAAGTAGTCACCTTAACTTAAAAATAGTTTTATATTATACATTATCTTAAACCATTACTGAACTGAAAGTCAAAAG